TTTTGGCGGCGGTGGCGCCTCCGTCAGCAGCCGAAATACACGATTGTACGCAATTGTATAAAGTCAAGTCTTCTGTGTTGGGGTAGTCCTAATAAGTATCGCAAAAACCCTAACTGTCGAGAGTCTTTTCAGAGTTTCACCTGCCGTAAAGGCCTCCTTCTTTCTGACCTGTATCTGAGGAAGCAATTTGGGTTTGAGAGTCTTTAATTCTCTTAATAGTGTTCATTTTGTTTTCTGTGAGGCTTTGTTACTTCTTCAGGGTTCTCTAACCGGGAGGGTGGGTGGCTCTTCTTTTGTTTGTTTCATTGAAATGAACACAGAAAAAATAAGTTTCTCTTGCTGTAAATCTTTCAAATTAATGCGTAATTTTTTTCAAGCTAAGTTATGGCTTCTAAGCTAACGGTTGTCAGGGTGAGCCTTTCTAAAAGGCTTTCCACAGTTAAGAAATGCAAGCCTGGTGTTAGTAGACTTAAATTCCTGTCACAGTCAAATCACTACGCTTGAAAAGTTTCTAAGACTAGCAGTTCACCAGAAATGTGTGTTTATGTTGTTTGGTGGGGTTTTTTTTCTTTTTATTGAGATGTGAGGAGGTCACTTGGGGGAGTTTCTTGTCAATAGCTTGTCTTCAAAAAGAGTTAAATAAAAAATAGAGATATAGAACTGGTACTTTAATTTGTAAGACAATCAAGGTTAGAAAGATGAACTCATGAAATTCAGGGTTTAGAAAGCTCGAAAAAACTGTCAGTTCAGTATCAGAAGAATAATTTTAGTTTTTATGTGTTATTCAGGAATACTATGCTAACGTGGAAAAGTGCCACCAGAGAAGTGAGATAGCGACATATTAGAACACTGGATATTCTCAGTAGTACTCGCTCTTTTTTACTGGAGAAACACTGGACAAATCATACTTTGTGTGGCAGGAAGCACCAGCTAGGTCAAGTTGCACTGGCTTTTTGTTTTTCTTTATTTCTTTGGGGTTTTTTTGTCAGATGTAACACCCTGTCTAGCTATACAATAAAAATACTAGCATTTAGTGTAGGTAACAAAATACCGTTCTATTTTGATTTTAAAACAGAAATGGTGTGGTGGTTGACCTCTTTTTGTTAATGTCTTTTCTGTTCTGAAACTTAATGTAAGGCTTAGTGTACAGGGAAAAAATAACTCTTGAATAATTAGCATTTTCTGTAAAGTCCTTTGCATCGTCTGCCCTAAGTAGCCTGAGAATTTGCATATCTTATTTTTTTCATTTGAGTACTTCAGCACATCTGATTTGTTACCAAGTATAGTGAAGACTATATTCCAGAGATCTCTTTCTCATTAGATTGTTACATAAAGTAAAAAGCCGTGACACCTCTTTTTCAAAACAGGTCTTGCATGGATCCTTTGTTCTTTCAAATACACAAGGGAGAAGAATCAATTTTCACCAGTGTTCTGCTGATGACATTTATTTCCTCCCATGGTTGATGAGTTTGTCTGGACTGACTAAAATGCAGAATTCCTGTTTCATAGGAATTTTTTTGTTATTTTAATTCTGGCTTTGAAGCAAAAATAAGGTTTATGAACCATTAATTTTGAACATTGTGGGTTTGGAACAATTACATGGAATCCCAAAGTATTAATTATTAATGTTGCTACTGTCAAAAAAATGTATGTACTTCTGGTGTACTATGAATAATAAAAGCTTTCCTAAAAAGGGGTTTTAAAAGTGTAAGTCTGGGTATACAAAAAATTTTCAGGATACTTTTCAGATAATGTTTTGAAAGCAACACAGATTTTAAGTGGAGTTAATGCAACATTTTTCATTAGGTGCTTCACTGCAAATAAAATGAACATCTCTTTGTTGAGTCTTTGGGACGTGTTTCAGGGGAGCTGTGTGCATTTGCTATAATGTATTGCGTGGAAGGAATAGTGTGAGGGAGGCTTGCTGTGTCCAGGAACATGTGGTGTTCTCTGTGCTGGCGCTGCTCTGCTGGCCTCACCTGTGGGCATGTGCCTGGCACTGTGGGTGTCGTGGGACCAGGAGGGTGGTGTGGCACAGCAGCCAGCCAAGGGGACCCTGCCGCGGTGGAAGGTCATGTGCTGGGACAATGCCACGTGCTTTGTCACAAGGCAGCTTGCACAGCCACTGTGTGAGGGGGAACATCTGAAGTCTGGTCATATGATGGATGCAACTACTGGTCCAAAGAAAAGAATAAGGTGTTCATAGCTTTGGACTGTTGCCAGGAGTGGTTCATCCCTAGCCAAAAGCTTTGGTCCTAATATTAATGTTTCCATGGCACAGTAGTTTTCAGTATGGACATATGTTTGCTAGGTTTTGATTGATATGCAATTTAGTTCAATTCCACTTGTATATTTCTGATAATAGGAGCTGCTACACAAACTAGTTTGAATAGCAGAAGCAAGTGAAATCTGGTAAGATGTAAAATATTACTTTCTATCGCTCAGCAAATAAATTGTCAGGAGCAACTATTTACTGTTCATCTTGTTATTTTTATCTCATCAGCATCCATCGGTGCCAGAGGTGCACTCTCAAAGCTGGGAATTTGAATGGCAGTTACACATTTTATTTGCGTACACCATTTTAAATTTTTTTTCTCTTACATTTTTTTGGGTGTAGTTCATTTGAAGCATTACACTAGCATAAACTGGGACTGCCACCTAAAGAAGGTACTGTAGTCCTTCCTCTGGCCTCTCATTCCCAACCCTAATGTGCTTCAGAAGCAAGCATTGATGAAATTCTATGATGAAAACCAACAATAAGCTGTTTTTCAGGCAGGCCAATTCACTACCAGTTAAACAGCTGTTCTCCCACACAGACGAGGAAAAAGGCACAGTGGCTTGGGGCAACGACAGGACTCCTGCTTTTTTGATATTGCTGGCATATGTTGATTTAAATAAACTGTAATTTGATGAACATTAATCTCTGTTTTATACAATATAGATAGCTACCGCAGGAATTATTTTTATTTCTCAACTGCCACATAATTTTCCACATGAAAAGTGAAACATTAAAGAGCAACATTGATGCTCTTGTGCACCATAACACATCACAGATGCTTTTTGTTGTGGTACTTGCTAGAAACACTACAAAATTTAAAAAAGGTTTTATTTCTGGTAGTTCTGTGTATTCCTTACAAAACCTTCCTGCTCAACTCCATTTTTAGGTATTCAAATTCAAAGCAGCATATGATCAGTAGCTTTATATGTTGTTTGTAAATTGTTACTTTTTTTAGCCCTAGGCACTGTTGGTAGATGGACATAATTGATTGAAGCAATAAGAATATATTTACTTCCTGACAGTATGTACCGTGAATTTACGTGGTTGTAAAATTTATTCTACTTAGAACATAAGACTGTAGAGAAATAAAGAAACCAAGCTTATTTTTTTTTTTTTTAAGTTGTACAGGACATGATCTCACAAAATTATTCTCCTTTTAAAAGAGATTAGATGCTTTATGATTAATGTAAGTATTCAGCACTGCAGTAATCTACCACCTTCTTTTAAAATGCTTGCTTCCTCATGTGATACTTTTTCTCACATTTCATGTTATTTGTTAATCATTAAGTATGTAGCTACTTCAAGGTTCAGTAAAAGGTCAGCTGATTCGGTAGGTATAACGATATACCAGTAAAGGATGTTACATTGATTGCCTAACAAAAGGAAAGCAAGTGGTTGGTAGTCAATAAAATAACTTTCTTGTGTTAAAAACTTAGATGAGTGACTGACTATTTTGAGATGTTATTCTGCAAACACAAGGAGGCAGGCTTTGATAAAAAAAATCTCTGGCCTGTGTAATAACTGAAGAAATTATATCTCTGTGCCATAGGCAGTTTGATTCAGAAGTTATTTTTTGAAAAATTGCAAGGTTTGAGAGGTAGTTCTGTCTTTGTTTAAAGCAAATTTTTCCTTAATAGTTGTTGTTTCAGGCTTTCAGTAGTGTTGTTAAGCTCTTTTCAAAGATGATGGGTAGTTTATTTTGTACATCTGTACGTACTGGCCATTGACATTCTAATTCAAAAGTATTGAGAGAATGCTAGTGTGTTGCTAGAAAAGCATTGATGTTTTGTGGTATATAACTTCCTCACACACAACAGTGTTTGCATATCCAGTGAATGCAACAATAAAAAATACTCTAGTAACTTCAGGAAAGCAGGGCTGTGATGGGTTTTGCTTTACAGTCTGCTAAACGTGAGAAGGCAGTCATGTGAGAGCAGTAGACTTGATCTGTTTAAAAAGGATGTGAAGAAAATCTACAATTCTCGAACCAGATAAATTCTTCCACAGGATCCTACTATTGTGTTGACGTTTCTGGTTTTGTGGGATCAAGCAGGAGATAAAAGCGAAAGAGACAATTTTTTTTCCCCACAACTAGTTGACAACCTCTTGAATCAAAAGTCATTCAGCTTTTAATGGAAATACCCATCTGTTAAATGTGGCTGCCTTTTTACTTTCAAGTTTAGTTAGACATCCATGAAGCAAGCTTCTCATTGCATACCAATTATAAGACTTTTTTTAATTAAAAAAAAAAAGACAAAAAAACCCCAGTTCATGGCCTGACTTAGAACTTGGGAAATAGATACTGTGTAATTTTACAACTGAAATACTGTTAATTTTTTACTGATCCTTCCTCCAAGCAGAGGACTAATAACAGACAAATATTTTAATTAGCCTTTTAGTTTATTCAGCTTTTTATTGTATCTTGATGCATTTCGAATGACTAATTTAAAAGATGCACGTAATTTAGAAGTATTAATGGAAATAAACTAACTGGTATTTGCTGTATTTCACTGCAGAGATTCTGCACATACATTCATTTAACTGTGACATTTTAGTATTGAAATGCATAAAATAATGTTCTTAAAACATTCCTTATCTAATAAGATCAAATTTCTGAGTTTTCTAGTTTAAATATTCATTTCTTGTACTAGTTTTATATAATCCCTTTGTAAAAGTACATTTTCCATATTATATTGCTCATGGCAGAAAAATGTTTTGTGTGCTACTAATACTACAAATGATTTAGAGCCTATTATTAGAGATTACATACTGAAGAAGAGATTTAATCTGTTCTTTACTCAGGATAAGTTAATGGAAATGGTCAAAATTTTAAATTAGATATCCATTTCATAGTGTACTGTGAGACTTGTTTTAATTGTGCTATAAGTATAAAACCAAAACTATTTCTCAATTTCTTTTACTTTCCCCTGTGCTTTGTATTTTTTCTGTCTTCGATCTTAGCCTGTTTGCTCTGATTTGTTTCAAAGATTTGTAAGTGGGGGAACTGTGCTCTTAAAACTCTGGTTTGTCTGTGGCGACAGAAAAACAGTGAGAAGTGATTGGAATAACAAAGATAAATGCATAAACCCCACAGTTCTCAAAGCAAACTGTGGGCAGAAGCAAAAATTAAAGATTATGTTAACTGTTGTGTAGTATTTTTGGCACTATGCTTTGGTTACATAGGTAATATTTAAAAATAATCTGCTCTGACAGAGATAGGAACGAGAACATAAAATAGAACAAGTGTGCTTCAGAGTTTGAAACTTTATTTCTGTGGTATGTGTATTTCTATAAAACTCCTGAAGTTCAATTGTACAGTGTAAATATACTAACGTGCATTTTTCCACCATATTATTCAGGTTTTTGGTGGATTCTTATTCAACTTGAACCTCTGGCAGTAGAAGTAAGAACTGTCTTTTCCTGCCTGATGTTTGCTGCTGCTTCTGAAGGGATCCATCAATATCCACATTCTAATTTGCAGGATCACAGAATCATTGAGGTTGAAGGGAACTTTGTACGTCACCTAGTCAAGTCCCGTAGCCAAAGCATGATCACTAGTTCAGGTTCATCAGGACCGTATCCAGGCAGGTTTCAAACGTCCACAAGGATGGGACTCCACAGCTGTTGGGAGCAACCTGTTTCAGTGTGTGATTATCCTCGCAGCAGAAGATTTTTATTATGTTTAAATGGGATTTCCTGTATTTCATTTTGTGCCCATTGCCTCTTTTCCTGTCACGGCACCACTGTGAAGGGTCCGGGTTTTGTCTTCACTCCCCACTGCCCCCCTCCCCACATCAGGCATTTATGCACATTGGTTGAGGCCCTCTGAACCTTCTCTGTTCACGACTAAACAGTCCTAGCTCTCTGCTTCCTCAGTATGACACATGTTTCTAGCCCTTCATTATCTCTGTGGCCCTTCCCATGTCTCTTGTACTGGGAGGCCGGAACTAGACCCATCCAGGTCCGTCACACCAGTGTTGAGTAGAAGGGAAAGATCACCTCCCTCAAACTGCTGGCAATGCTTCTCCTAATGTGGTCCTGGCAATTAAGGTCAGGAGTGCACTTCAGAAACTTAGCTCATGGTCATGCCCCTCTAGGGTGCTTTGTTTCACCTCACAGTGGGGTTTCAGGGCATGAAATAGGTTTCTTGCAGTTTAAACTAAACTGGAAGGTGTTGCTTCAGATTTGTGCTCTAATCACTACAAGATGTTTTATCTGAATGAGTTGACCATAACTAATCCAGAATAGCTGTCTTCTCCTCCTTTTGCCTTCTTGAGATCTCAATTACTATAAATCCTATAGGTAAGGTAGTTTTTGTTTTAATTAGATTTAATTTTCTTTATTAGACTATAGAGACAAGCTTTGAAAAATATTGACAGTTTAAATAGTATGCCAAAGCTTAGAAACTTACAAAATCCACATAGAGATCTCTTAGTCAAATTTTACAAGACCAGAATTGGTCCTTAAACCGCACTGAAGAATGGCAGTGCAGAGTACTGAGTGATTTCCTAGGATTCATAATAGATACTATTAGATTACTTGTTTTGTCATCTAACCTTAATAATTACCAATCTTGTTTGTAATTGCAAATTTTGTTTCACCTATTTAAGTTTGTTTACAAGTTGCTATTCTTCAAATAACAGTCAATTCTAACATAATTTACTTTCAGTAAAATTACTTTCAGTAATTTTAAGTAAGAGACATTTTACTTGAGATAGTTTTTGACTTGACAAATTTGTCTAGCATGTAACATAACCTTGGAATAAACTTATCAATCCATTTTCCTCTGTAGGACTTAAAATACTATGAAAGAATCTGAGGGGAAGAGGGGGGTCAAGATACTATCCTTTTTTTATTTTGAGTTTGTTAATTAAATTTGTGCGTAGTCATCTTCCCCCCAACTTTTGTCTCAGTTTTTTTTTTCTTACATTTCTCCTTAAACTAATTTTACTTGAAAATAAATATTTAAAAGTATTTTGTTTTCTCCAGAATACTTCAGATTTTGAATTGATGTTGCCAGCTTAATACTTACCTTGTCTTTTGCCAGTTTCCTTCAGCAGCATATAATGAAGAGGAGGTATCAGGTTTTATTTTTTTATTTTATTATTTTATTTATTTTTAAGTCTTTGAATTCAGACAACTTTGACTTAGCTATGTAGAAATAGCATTTGTGATCTGCATGCAGAAATTACATGAATGGCATATGATACATTAGTGTTCACGAAAGCAAGAGTAATTTTTATTTTTCTTTGCAGATGCATTCTTTATGAAAATGCATTTGCAGTAGTTTGAGTACAATCCAATTTAATGTTTTTGTGTCCCTTGCTTCCCACATTTGTATTCCAACTGTTGTCTTCCTGTACCAAGCAGTTAAGAAGCATTTTTCTGTCAGTGGTTTGACAAAGGGAAGAGGGAGGTGTAGAATATGAATGAGAAATAAATTATGGCCTGAAAAAGCTTTCATCCCTTAATCAGAGTCAAAATATGGCTAAAGTTTATGGCAATGGTTTCTGTTGCTGTTTAATGCCAATTTGTTACTCTTAAATGTCAAAAATATTCCAGATCCTAATATTTTGTTTCTATACTAGAGGATTAAATACACGTGGGGAAAAAGAACCGTAATCTTTTGATCCTGTTAGACTGGGAAAGAGAAAGATGGATAGTAGGACAGAAGTTAGAAGATAGAATCAACCTATTGTGCATGCTTGCTGGCTGGAACTTTTGTTCTCCAGTATTTTCACTTGGCACAGAGTTAGTTTAAAATGGGAGTGAGGGGAGTTTCAGTTGTTATCCAAACATAAATCTGGAATAACTTACAGGGTATTAGGAATGAATGCCTGGCACGTACTAAAGACAAAATACTTGCTCTGAAATTGTGCTGTGTATTAGCAAAGGAAAAATATTGTGGTATTACATGACATAAATAAAAGCAGAGAAGTTTCTGTAAAGCTCACTGTATAATTCCTTCCAGCACACCCACACTTAGTATTTGCTGAACAAAGATTAAGGGCAACAAATCAAGACATAAATTTTACAGTTGTCTTGGCTAAACATTTCTCTGAGAATGATTACTTGCCAAGTCTTTATGAATTTGAAGATAAATGTCCTGTCTGCAAACTGAGAGCAAACCCTCTTTTAGTTAATAATTGGCAAAACAGTTCTGTCTTCATGCATAAAACATTACAA